TTTGGTCCAGCCCCGCCTCGCCCGAGGGCAAAGGGCTGGCCTCCATCTTGCCCAACGCCTTTGGGCCAGCCCCGCCTCACCCGAGGGCTGAAGGCTAGTCTCCGCCTTGCCCGAGGGCCGAGGGATACACTTCGCCTCGCCCGACCCCCGAGGGGTGGGTTCGGTCACGCCCAAGGGATAAGGACTGGGCTCTGCCTCGCCCGACGACCGAGGACGAACCTCGCCCCATTCGATGTCCAAAGGCTGGTTTTATCTTACCTAATAACTTCTCTCCCGTTCCCTCATGATGATGGGTATAGTGCAAGACAAGACGTTCGTGTCAACCACGGCTTCAAGGACCATACCCTGTGCCCCGGTAGGAAAGGTACTGATAGGGAACGACTAGACAGGTGCTTTAGACCCTCTTGGGCGCCGCAGAGCCCAAAAGGTATTGCAGGCGCGTACTCCTCGCCCTGTAGAGTTATAGGCGCCACCTTCAGCTCTGGGACACGGGACCCGATGAAGATACACGACAACCACTACACTCCAAAAAAGGATTTGTAATCTCCACGAATGACGGACATGCCGTCACCACATTATGGACCCAAGGGAGCGGCGCCCGCTTCCCGACCCCTCGGGTCCACCAAATCGCAGGACCTTGCCCATAGCGCTACTCCAGACCTCGACTCCGCGTCCCTCCGACAGAGACTCATAGAGCCAGAAGGCATGCGGAGCAAGGCTGGGCGAGGTTCATAAGTCAAAACCACTGTACTCCAGCCCATACCCTGCGCAGGGCACTATTCTGTAACCATCCTGACATTCTACAGAAGCATCGACATTATTGTAGGCGCTTATCTTCCTTTCGCACCCATCAGAATGGGTAAGGAGGCTAGGTAGAACATGGATCCTAAGCCCTGACCCTTGTAAGGCCATCCCCTTCATCTATAAAAGGGGATGCGCTTCCTCCAGCTAGAAGGAAAAAAAAGAACAACGCAACAGACATGCCTAGACAAGCTGCCACCGAGCTCTTGGCTTCCTTTCGACCCTTCCATCAGAGACTTGGGACCTGTCCCTCTCTCGATCGTTTGTATCCCCTACTATGAACCATTCATGGTGCTAATAATACGAGCAGCAACAAACTGGACGTAGGGATATTCAGCCCGAACCAGTATAAATCTTGTGTCCTTTAGCGCACCATCCGAGCCTAACGCGCATTACTATAAATTTACTTGTCGGTGCTTGTACGAAACACCGACACTTGGTTACACTATTTTCCCTATCCGTGTCGGTTAAGGACCGGCTGTTACATTGGATTCTAGTTAGGCCACAGACCTATTATCCTGAGCACATACTTGCTTATGGGAGCGGGAAAACTCGTTGCTCTCTTGTCGTGGGTTCTGGCTCTTTTTGGACCGACTAATTGGAGGCGGGGATGGTGGAGGTCTAAGCACCACACTGAGTCTGGGACTCAGGTGTGGGGGCTTGGAGTCCAAGTTTGGACGGAGACCTGGACCCCTTGATAGGAGAGTGATGGGTTGGTCTTGTTTGTGCATGGGGTACAAGCGGGGCATGTGTTTTGGGGTACCCAGCTGGGCTACATTGTTTCATGAATCACCGTGTAATATGGTATGACTTGTCTACGATCTAGCACCGTAGTAAGAACTGAAAGATGAAAGATGGTGAAATGGATCTGATTGCTCAACTCTTGCTTGAAAATAGAACAGGTGCTTACATAAAATGGTTAGCTCACAAACTAATCAAGACTGCTAATAAGAAACATACATAAGGATTCACTACTAGTAATGTTTTTTGCAAAAAGGAAACCCAGCAAACCACAAAGCCTATCATATTATTTGGAGTCGAGAAATTATTCCCACTAGTCGGGTAAGTCTTGCGAGTACATTGTGTACTCAGGGTTTATTTACCCCTGTTGCAGGTGCAGCTTGAGGAGTAGCTGTTGTGTGGAGGATTCTTCTGGTGGGCACAGAGAGATCCTTGTATCTTATCGTTAGCTGTTTATTTTAATTCCGCACTCTGAACTTGGTATTGTAATAATGTATTTCTAAGAACTCTTATTGTATGAAATGGACTAAGTATTGTAAACTCGTTCTCATTATTGGATCCTGGAGGAAAAACGTGGGTTATTCGAGTTCTCCCTTGGGGGTGTGCTCGAAGGAACCGTCCGATGTAGCTTACTTTCGGGGTGCTTAGTGTCTGGTGGAAGATGAGCACCTCCAGAAGCGTGCTATTTCGGACGGTTCTGCCACACAAGTTGTTCTGATTTTCTTGGGTGAGAGCATCACTGACAAATTTATTATAGGTTGCCCACCTAGAATTGGCCATGGTCTTCATCAATTTGGTGCCAAGCCCATGCTTGAAGCTCTCTATCTTTTTCTCCTCGGTGTTCATAAATTCTGAGGCATACCTTGACAAGTTGTTAAAGACATGCATATACTCAGTGAGGGTTTTGTCCCCTGTGTTAGCTTTATAAACTCGGCTGCTTTCATCCTTATGAGCCCTGGGGGTATATGGTGTCCCCTGAAGGCTGTCTTGAACTGCTCCCAAGTAACATTAGCACCAGTAGGTAGGGTAGACAAATAGTGAGTCCACCAAATACCTGCAGGTCCCTGTAACTGGTGCAAAGCATACTCGGCCTTCATTCGCTCGGTGACCCTCAAAAGACGGAATTTCTATTCAATGGTGTTCAACCATTCATCAGCCTAAAATGGTTCTTCTATCTCTTTAAAGATGGGAGGCTTTGTGTCCAAGAAGTCCTTGAATGTGTTGTATTGATTTGGCTCCGAACCCTGATTCTTCTGGCGGGCACGGGCCATGTTCTGCGCAATATGGCGTAGTGTCTCCTCCATTGCTCATTGGTTTCCCAAGAACTGCGTGAAGAACTCATTTGCGGTGGGCGGCGACGACGGTGGTAGGTCGCCATCATTACCACCTTGACTGGTACCAGCCCCAGTATGAGTGTGACTCATCTGCAAAATTGCATCAATAAGTAATTACTAGATGATGCCAAGAGATTGCAGAAGAAATGCGTAATCATGCCAAACTGAATTTACTAGAGAGAATTTAAAAATTCATACAATAAAACAGAGGCACAACAATTCATTTACACAACATGACACCACCAATCTTATTACTTATTATTCTCGCCACACGTTCCATTTTTGGACCAACTCATGAATATAAACTTGGTTCCATTTTCCATCCTAAGTGTGTCTAAGGTGTTTTAGTGTCCAAACAACACTCACTTGTATTAACCAAGCATGACCATAAGTCATATACATGTATAATTAAGCATCTCATGTGATAACATAGAGTGAATGAAATGAAATTTCATATGCTAATGTTCATGAATGAATGGGTGATGCTTATGCTCATGCAAATGCAAGTGCAAAGTGCAAGCTTAACACAAGGGTGTTACAGGAGGGTCCTTAATTATAGAGTGATCAAAGTGATATTTGCGAATTCATATATGATGGTGATGTTGCAAGTTGATAGTCTCCCTAGAGCAATCAACCAAAGGTATGTGAAGAAGTATTTTCTAAGTGTTTGGCAAGAAGCCTAGAATGCTTTTCAAATAATGGCCGATATATGTATCGTCCTTAGAACAAATATGGTCGATATATACATCACCCTTAGATGCTAGATAGCCGATGAGTTGGGTATCATTGCTATTTAGTGCTTTAATTGTGTTTTCATGTTCATGTTTCATTCACCTAAAAATAGAGGGACATATGTTGACACTAAAAAATATCTCAGCATGGAACATGGACATCATCAACAAGTTCTTAGCATCAGGGACACGTTGGAAATTAATTGGCGCATCAAGTAGCAAGAGAAACAAGCAAAACAGAAGGAAACCACGTCTGGCCTACTAGAGTCAGCTTGGTCGGCTCGCCAAATCGTCTTAGCCAGCTAAGCTGGCTCCTCTCTATTACCAGCCGAGCCACAGCGCCCGCGCCCGATAAAATCGGCTCAGCCGACTTTGGGGTTGACTCAGCCAACTTTTCTTGCGATTAGAGTAGATTTGGTATTCAAATCAGTTTTGGACCTACTTTGGACGTGAGAAACTTAGAGAACGTGTTTTGGGCTTATTTCTGACTAGGATAAGACCACCCCTCTATATATATGAGAAAATCACGACCGATTGAGGATCCCAACTTCCAATCGTCAAAATACATCTGCTACAACCCTTTTACCTCTTCCTCGCTCTACCTTGTTGTTGTCACGTCTCTCGGTAAGATTTGACGGCGTTCTAGGTAACCTTGCCGACCCTAGGATAACCTTCACGTGCTCCTCCCTGACAGGTTTTTCCCGGAGGCGTTAGGGAGTCTACTAGGTGAAGAACGGGTTTAACATCGGCATGACTAGTTTCTAGATCGGTTCCGTCGATCCCATTACGTTCTTGATGTGATCAAGGTCGTGTGTCGACCGCAGGCGTGCTATCCCTTATTGTTGTGTGATCTGAAGCCCCATCCGGCGTCAACAGCCACGTTCAGGGATTATGTTATCTATAAGCTCATCCTTGCCTAAATTCATTGTCACGCCCACCTCAGTTCGACAAAAGCCCATTAAGCTACATTCTTCGAAATTTCCATTCAACTCGATTGTAAGCTTTACTCATATCCAACCAGCCAAACTGTCTATCCTTCTTTTATTTTGCAGGAAGTACGTAAGGTCATAAGCAAGGAGAGGACATTATCGATGATCAAACACCAGGACAAAAGCACTCTAATTCAAAGAAATAATCTCCGGCAATATAGCTTTGGGGCGGTTCGAAAGCACCTTCGAATAATTCTGTATAACACAATACAAAGACTAATTGACCTCAAATGCTTCAGATTATCAGGGTTCTGCGCTTTATAGGATCAAGACCACAGTCGTATCATTCTATCCAGCCGGCACTTCACTTCATCTTAGCAACATCTTTACCTTTCGGATGACGGCCGGGTACATACAAGAAGCTTGATTCTCTTTCTCTCTCTCTCTCTCTCTCTCTCCTTGAATCAGGCCATCCCAAGTATGGAGCGATGCCTAGGACTAGGCAAGACAGGCCCATGGTTGCCGAAATCCATGGACCGGTTCCTGGGGCTTGGCAGGACAGGTCCATGAATGGCAGAGTCCACCGACCGGTTCCTCGGACTGGGCGCGACTGGCGGGTGGCTGGTGAGCTCGACGGAGCGGTGCCTCGGACTGGGCGCGACCTGCGCATGGCCCGTGACAGTGAGTTCCATGGACCGGCTCCTTGGGCTGGGTGCGTGGACCTCGAAGTCCAGCGGCGGCTTCGGGGACACCTTGGTGCTCCGCCGTCGCATGAGCACCTTGAGGAGCTCGTCGACCTGGTCCCGAGGCGTTTGGTCGGCGGAGCTCACGTCCGTTGGCGTCTCCGTCTTCCCGTGGTCGACCGCAACCCTAGGGTGTGTCTCTTGCGGCGCGTCTGCGGTGAGGATGGTGCTCATGGTTGTGGGCACGGCCGCCTCGACGTAATGTGTGGTCTCCTCGTCGTGGTCAGCCTTCTTGAACCTCGCTGTGATGGCCAGGTTGTCGACGGCGCTAACAACGCCCTCCGCCCTCGTGCAGATCTCCAACAGGAGGGAGGCCGCTGTGAACAGGGGCAGCGCCTCGATGAGGGGCGGCGCCGGTGCCGGTGCCGTTGTAATGTTCTGCTCCCGCTCTGTGTCTGTGGACTCGTCTAGCTCCAGTAGCGGCGCGAGGCACCTCAGCTCGTCCCACAGCTCCTGCGCGGCGGCGTTCATATCCCCTACGACGAGGGCGAGGCGGCCGGACCGCGTCATCGAGGCAACGGAGCCCGACGGAGCAATGGCGGCCTAGAGCGGCGGAGGCGCCGGCGAGGTGCTTCTTGACGTGCGCTGGCGTTTGGGCCTCTGAGCCGACGCAGGCAGCGAGGGCGTCGACGCAGTAGGCACAGGAGCGCATCGCTGCGCCGACCTTCTGGTACAGATGGTACGGGTGGCGGAAACCGAACTTGCCGTGTGCGGGTTCCCACGTCGCCAGGTTGGCCAGTGAGTCCTCCGAGGCCTTGGCGTTCAGCACTGCCTTATATCCATGTGACTTGTCCGACAGCGCCGGCTTCGGAGCTGCTGCTGCGGCGACGTCGACACCGGCTGCAGCCACCGAGAAGTAGTCCTCTACGCAGCTCTCGACGGCGGCAGCCAGCTTGTCCATGTTGCGGGCGACCTGGTCGTGGAGCTCCTGCCCCGCCAGACGGGGAAGACGAGCGCACAGACGGCGAAGCAGATCACGGCGCCCGATGGCCACTGGCGGAGCAAAGGGGGGGGGGGCAGGACCATGGCGCCCCCCCCCCCCCCCCCAATGTTTCACAACAACAAAAAAAATAGTAGTATGACTTAATATTTTTTATTTATATTAAGAGAGAGATTATATAAAATTCTGGTCATATATACCTATTAATATCTTCTAGATAATATAATTATATAAAACACAACTAGATAATAAAATTATCGCAATGAAAAAGATCGAGCCGGCCCCCCTAAGTATAATTCCTGACGGCCGGTCCCCCCTGAGTATAAATCCTGGCTCCGCCGCTGCCGATGGCGATGGTCGTCAGCCGGTGCTGTGCCATGAAGGCAACCTCGTTGACGCGGTACCCTCCCACCGCGACGAGCGTGTACGTGAGGATGAAGATGGCGACGCCGTAGTCGAAGCGGGCTTTCATCTTGGGCAGAAACCTGGAATAGGTGACCGCGGCGGCTGCGTGCATACACGTCGCAACAATTGTTAGTTAGGCCAGTATCGTCAAGCTCATTCCAACAGCTAGCTACATATGGTTAATCGATCGATTTAACAACGCACTTACCGAAAACAAATAGAGAGCCACTGAGGATGAAGGGCTCCAACTCCTTGCCGGACTTGCTGGCGATCCGCTGCACGCCGAGGCCAGCACGGCGCCGGTCACCGTTGCCATGGCTCTGTTCAGCCCTTTGTACAAGCAGACACCTGTATAGATAGAGACGCAGCAGAAATAAACAGTATGTTCGCTTGTTGGTTTCAGCCAGGACTTATCAGCTAGCCAACGATATTTTTCTCTCATAACAAATCAGCACCAGCCGTGATCAACCTAGACCAACCAGCGAACAGGCTCAAATATGAAATACAGTGATCGATCTGAAGTCGATCGAGTATGGGGCTTAATTAGCTAGTGGCTGTTGCTAGCTAGTGGTTATTACCAACTGTGTACTCGAAGACAACCGTCAGGACGGCCCACATGGCATTCTGGCCGGTGAAGTCGTAGAGCGGCTGGACGTAGTAGAATACAGAGCACAGGGTGAGCGCGAGCGCCATCTTGAACCCGTGCGCCACCTTCCGAGGGTCGTCGGCGCCGATCCTCCACGCCATCCTAGCGACGCCCACCACCCTGTCCCGCGCCGCGGCCGCCAACGAGAACAGCCACAGGCACGCCGTCGTGGCGATGCTGACCATGCCGTGCATCAGCGCCACCAGCCACGAGAAGAGACGACGCGCCACCAATGCCGGCGCGCAGCATGCCCGGCGGCTGCTGATTTTGGTGTTCTCGTGTTCCGCCGCGGCGGCCGGGGCCACGCTCCATTCTGGGCTGCCGTCGTCGGCGTGGCTAGTGGTTTGGTGAGCTGCTGCTCTTGCCATGCTTTCTATAGTAGTACAGGGCCTGTTCGGCAGGACTGAAAAATACTGTTCCGACTTATTATTATGAGAAAAAAATACTGTTCTGACAGGATGTGAACGATGATTTCGTGAGTGACGGAACAGCCGGCTGGACACGCCGATAGTTCCCGATCGGATCTTGATGATCTGCCACGCCATGGCGTGGCCAGGTGAGGTTTATATAGCCGAGGACGGAGCAGGGGTTTATCGCTAGGGTACTGTGCTTGACGTGGCTGCACGTTGGTCTCTGACACCAATCACTTCAGTATTTGCGCGTGCAGTGACATGTACTCGTAGTAATCGAGTTTTCTACCCTTGTTAGGAAAGTGGGTCGAAGCACCGATCAAAGTTAAACGTGGAACCAGTAAATGTGCATTTGCCATTTTAATACTGTGAATTAGGAGTACTACCTCGGTAGAGGTATGTGCACGTACAGTGCACTTGTTCAATTGCTACAGTTCAAATAGGTCTGGGTTTCAACAGTTGTGTTTCCGTCCGGGTAGGACAAACATAACTGGTTCAAAAATACTGTAGCAAGATTGTCAAACGTGAAGTTAACCTCGTGCCAAATTTTCAGAAAAAAAGAAATGAAAGCTAACGAATAAGTGTGGTCCAAATATTGATCGATAAAAAGGGATCTGCTATATTTCAGCTGAAATATGATTTATTTTCAGGCGACAGTTCACGGATCCAAATTCAAAATAGATGCGATACTAGAGAGAGCCTGCTGGAGCACATAAAATCAAGCAGATCAACACCCAACGCATCGCCTGAACTAAGATATATACTCGTAAAGAGTTAAATGCACCGGGGCTCTGAAACTTGTAAGCGTATGTCACATAAGCCTCTGAACTTTGAAAATACATTTATGCCCCCCCTAAACTTGTTAAGTGATACACATGGGTCTCTGAACTTTGAAAATATATTTCTGGCCCCCTAAAGTTGCTAAGTGGTATACCATAGGCCCATACTTGCCACATGGGTATTTTTTGGTGACGTGGTAAAAAAGTATTCACCAAACCACCTGAAACCCAATCCGCGTCGCCGTCATCAATGCGGGAGCCGCCTTCGCACAGAGGTGCTCGCCATTAGGAAGGACAACGAGGGGAGCATCAGCGGCTCAAGGGTGAGGTGGCGCCGTGGCGTGTCGCAGAAAGCACGACCCTAGCTGCCGGCGATGCTTCTCCTTGTCGCAAGCCAAACCACATGCACGTGGCTCCGCCGCACGTGGTCTAGCCTACGACTAGGAGAAGCATCACCAGCGCCTAGGGTCATGCTTTTTGCGACGCGCCACAATGCCACCTCACCCTCCAGCCGCTGATGCTCCCCTCGTTGTCCTTCCTAACGGCGAGCACCTCTGTGCGGAGGCAGATCCCACACCAATGACGGCGACGCGGATTGGCTTCAAGGGGTTTGGTGCATATTTTTTCGCCACGTAGCAGCGCCGCGTTAAAAAAAATTGCCCGTGTGACAAGTATGGACATGTGGTGTACCACTTAACTAGTTTAGAGGGTCAGAAATGCATTTTCAAAGTTCAAGGGCCTATGTGTACCACTTAACAAGTTTAAGGGGCCAAAAATGCATTTTCAAAGTTTAGACGCCTATGTGACACACACTTACAAGTTCGAGGACTCCTGGTATATTTAACTCACTTGTAAATATTTCAGGATCCGTTGTACGCACACAATTCTTTAAATAACAGTACAAGCAAAGGTACTCTTAAATACATACACATACAGTTAATCTTCAATATACGCATATACGTCCTATCACTACGATTATCTCCGAAAACCTGATACGATAGATGCCAAGGTTGACAAAGTCATCTGCCTCCTTTTTTTAGGGCATATCGCTTCATAATGTAAAAACAATACCGTTAAATCCAATAATTTACAGTATTCCAAATAACCTACACTACGTGAAAAACGGTTTGTAGCAACGGGATAAATTTTTTGTAGGGGTGGCTGGTGATGGAGCCACCCCTACAGTAGCGCGCTCGGGACCCACGAGACTAGCCACCCCTACAAATAGAACAACAGGGGTGGCTGGTGATACGAGACGCCCCCACAAATGAGTCAGATTTGTAGGAGCGGCTCAATCACCAGCTGCCCCTAGAGGCGGCTGGTGATTGACCCGCCCCTACAAATGCCCCGCGTATAAATACCTGCGATTTGTAGGGGCGGCTCAATCACCAGCCGCCCCTACAAATGACCCACATATAAAAAAATTGCAGCACCTTCTTCCTCCTCAGGTCACTCACTTCAACCCATGAAAGAAAGGTGGGGAGGCCTTGGGCACCTCCCAAAAATTGCTCTACTAGGGGGAAGGTTTTGGTCTCAAATCCTTTGGTGGAGATGTTGTAGAAGGTAAGAAAATGCTATTCTACACTTTTTTGAAGTTTTAATGGTTGGTTAGTGAGTAATTAGAGTTTTGCTTTTCTCTCTCTTCTGTGGTGCTTGAGCTACTTATGAAGCAAATTAGACCCAAGTTTTGAATGTATTAGGATAAATTAGGTAGGGGAACGAGATCATACCCTTTTTTGGTCCATGTTTCTTAATTTTAGTGAATAATTAGTTAGTTTTATGGACGTTTTATGTGCATGTAGATCTAGATCTAGGGTTTTGTTTTTTTTATTAATTTTGTTTTTGTAAATTTATGTTTGATAAAATTAGACTAGGGGTTGCATGAAAGATATTGGGTAAAATATAATTGTTGCTAATTGTTGTCTTTGAAATTATTTATTATAACCAACAAATATGTATTTTAATTATTTATGGATAAATGGGCCATTAATTAATTTTCCTCTACCATGGTGTGTTTGTATGCTTCATGTAATTATATTTGATTTATATTCATATATATCTAAAGTATATACAATTATTCTCAAGTGATTATTAATTTGATTCATTTATATATATATGAATAAGTAGTCCTTTAATGTTTGCTTTGTTGTTGTTGTAAAAGGTGGAGTACAGAAACTCTTGGATGTATGGTTCGTTAAGGTTCAAGGCAGGTTTCTGTGAAGAGGTGGATAAATTTATTGAAGCCGCAAAGAAGCATACAACGACGTTGATAGAAAATAATGATACAATTATTTGTCCCCTTAAAGATTGCAAGAACCGAATGGCATGGACAGATGTGACTATCATCAGATCACATTTGATTATGCGAGGATTCGTTGAGGACTACATAGTGTGAATTTATCATGGTGAAACGGTTATTGTGAACGACGAGGATGAGGAGGAATACGATGACAAAACCCTAGAATCCCTGTCCCAATATTCAGCAGAGCTTGATGAATGAATGGATCCTGAGTTTGGCAATGAACAAGGTGGTGAAGCTGGTGGTTGGGATGGTAACGATGAAGGTGGTGCCAATAATGATGGTGGAGCACGTGTCGGGGATGAAAATGATTTGGAGGACATGATTCGAGCCATTGGACCAGAGATTTTACTAAAGAGCCTGAAAGGTTTAGAAAATTTAGAAAGGGTGACAAAAGCATCGAAGGAGACTGTGTATGGTGTTGAAAAGGGCTGTCCGACACATTGGACTTTGCTACGTTTTGTGCTTGAGCTACTCATCCTAAAGGCTAAGTACGGCTGGTTAGACTGTAGTTTCAATGATCTATTGTGTCTCCTATCATGGGTGCTGCCACAACCAAACTCAGTTCCCGCCAACACATACCAAGCGAAGAAGGTTATAAGTCCATTGACAATGGGGATTGAAAAAAATCCATGCATGCCCCAGCCACTGTATACTTTTTCATGGCGAAACGTTCAAGTCACTAGATAAATGTCCCCGGTGTGGGGCCAGCCAGTACAAGAACAATGACCTTTATGGTGGGGACGAAGCCTCCATGAGGAAGAAGAGGAATAAGAAGGGTAAAAAAAGGTGGTACAAGAATCTCAGCCCCTAGAGGACACTCCATTAGGCAACGATGCAAAGCAGAGAAGAATTCATACCTTAGTAATATGGTACCTGTCGCTTAAGACGTATCTTCCTAAACCCTAAAGAAGCCGAACTCATGACATGGTGGGATGATGAGCGCAAGGTGGATGATGATAAGATTGCACACCCAACTGATTGTAGTCAGTGGCAAAGGTTTGAAGAGAAGCACAAAGAATTCAGCGATGACCCAAGGAATGTACGGTTTGGCTTGAGTACCGATGGAATGAATGTCTTCAATGAGAGGATGAGCGACCACAACACTTGGCCAGTGATCTTGACCATGTACAACATCCCAATGTGGTTGTGTCAGAAAAGAAAGTACCTTCTTCTCACTATTCTTATTTCTGGCCCTAAACAACTAGGCATTGATATAGACGTGTTCCTCGAGCCTTTGATGCAAGAAATGGAGAGGCTATGGAGGCATGGGGAGCCGATGTACGATGCATTCCGAAAGGAGGACTTCATATGTAGAGCAATAATATTTGTTACTACCAATGATTATCCTGCGTTGTTTGCTTTGTCTGGATAGATAAAAGGGAAGATGGGATGCTTGGTTTGCTTGGATGGTACTACATGGGTGTACCTGGATGCATCCAAGAAGATAGTTTACCTAAAGAACCGATGCTTCTTAAAGACAAGTCACAAGTACCGCAACAAATTGTTCTTTAGATTTTATGACAACGCCCCAGAGATTGAACTCCCTCCAGAGAGACGTCATAATGGAGAACATGTGTATAGAATGGTGAAAAACATATGCATCGTCTATGGAAAGAAGAATCCAGATGGGACGAACAGAGATAGAAGCACACCTCCTATCGAAGGAGTACCTTTCAAGAAACAATCGATCTTCTTTCAATATCTGCCTTATTGGCCAGACTTGAAGGTCCCCCATGCCATTGATGCTATGCACGTGCAGAAGAATGTCTTTGAGAGTCTCATTGCTACCTTGATGGACACAGGCAAGTCAAAGGATGGTCTGAAATCACGGAAAGACATGGTGCAGCTAAACGTGATGCCACAGCTTCACCCGGTAC